CTTAAAAGGGCTACATAAAAAAAAAACAAACGTTTTCGGACTAAACAGTCCCATCATCAGGTTTAAAATCGCTAGGTTTAAAATGCTGAGCCACCAAAAATACATGGGTAAAAACCCTTTAAATTACATATAGTTTATAAAAGATTATACATCTTGTTGTTAAAAAAATTGTGATGTTCAGTAATAAATTAAATATGACTTCAGGTAACATACATTGCAAAAATTGAGTTCCAGAGCCGGGGAGAAAACCTCTACGCACGGAGAACAGCTGGAAACTCGATAGAAATTCTTCATACCTCTTTAAAAAATATGTTTACACAACACATACTATCATTGAAAGAAAACTTTGAGAAACATGTTCCTATTAGTTTCTCATGAATATCATGTCATTAGCACTGCTGCATTAAATGTTTTATTACCATTTATTACCATTTGCGACTTCGGACTTTCAGTTGCAGTAATGCAGTACAGGTCAAACATAAATTTAGAAAGAGAAATAAGAGTAGCAATTTCCAAACTGGAGCCCCGGTTTCATAGGCTGTGCTCAAAAAAGCAAGCATATCCTTTACATTAACCGGCCAGTTACATAAATAAATATCCCTTTACATTTTTGTGCCTATGTTTTGATTTCGTTCTTAATTTCTAATAAAAAATATACATGTTCAAATAGTGTTTTTATTATAACTATAACCTGTTACTAGGCTAGTACTAAAATTGGTAAGTATTATTGGGGTCGGGTTGAGGGGGCGTCGCAAAAAATTGCAAAGTCCCAAGGGGGTCACAGTACGAGTAAGTTTGGGAAGCCCTGTTAAAACCTATTAAGTCATATAGAAATATCTTTATATACGAGCCTCTTTCCATGCCAGTTGGCCCCCCTATGGAATTTGCAGTTTATGGAGATTATCATAAACAAATCATAATCTACATGCCTTTATGAGTTCCCATGTTAATCAATATAGCATCTTTGTTAATATTTTTATTAAATACATTACCCTTATGGTTTTTTATTTATTTTCAATAATAAGAAAAAAAGTTTTTACACTAAATCGCTAAATCGTGCCTGTTCATTCACTTATAAGGTTTTAAAATTATTACCAGATACAGCACATTATTATTTTTTTTTGTTTAAATTGTAACCTCTCTATAGCTTTTTGATTATAACTTTTTCAATTAAACTATTTTTAAATAATGGTTTAATGTTAAATCTTTTATTAATAATTGTTACACAGGCCATTCGCGTTCTGACTTTTAGTCCGACTAGTGGTCTAACTTCTGCAGTTGGATCTGAAATCTGACTGTGAGTGGGATAGTTGGATAACTTAGTGGTACGAGTTGGAACATCTAGTGGGACGATTTGAAGGTCCAACTTCCGACTGGCGACGAAGTCGGATTACAGGTCGGATCGAAAATTTCGTCAGTCAGTTGACCTTCGGCACCTATTACGTATGAGATTTCTATGAAATATTTTATGCAAAGATCTCTAGTTCGCAAATATTTAATGGAAAATAAACTTTCAATTGCGAAAATTACCTTTTTGTTAGGGCAAATCATTTTCCCTTTTTGTAGATCTATTTCGAACATTCCCATACAGGTACAATTTCCAACACTCCGGATTGTTAAAAACGGAAAAAAACTAAAATTAAATCATAGTTATACGGAAATTTAGACGTAACTGTTACCCGTACTATTTTAATTGGAAATAAGCCTGAATATTAGTTAGAAATTAAATTTATTTCACGTTGAACTGAAGTTGAACCGTTAGTGTGGATAGCAAGTTGGAGCGTGAGTGGAGACGACTATCCAACTAGTAGTCCTACTAAGTGGGACCGCAAGTCGGAACGTGAATGGCCTACTTTAGCAGTTAACAGCATATTATTGTTTTTGTTTAAATTATAAGCTCTTTTTACCTTTTTGTTTACAATTTTTTTTTAAAATGTTTTTTTTTCAAATGATGGTTTAACGTTAAATATTTTAATAATAATTTTTATCGAGGGAACCTTGATTAACCGTAGATTTATCACAGAGGAAGTAAAAGTAAACAGTTGTGCGGTCAACAACACATTCGCACTTCTATCCAAAACAGACTCACTGCAATGATGAATTTTGATTTTGATTTGTATTGTACCGATTTGTATTTGTACCATTGATTTGTACATCATCATACAATACAGCAAATACAACATTCAACTGTTGTAAATTTGGCGATGCATCTGGAGGCAGTCAGCAAATTTATTTAACTCCATCGTTGCCAAAGCGATCCATTTGCACGAATGTTACGCTACTCTGAGATCCTTTAGAATTGGTTTATTATACTTAGACCGCTTCATCAAATAAATCTTAATGTAGGAAGCAAGGCGAAGCAGTGACGAATGCTTCTTGTGGTTTATGTTGGTGAATGTTTATGAGCCGATATCATTTCAATTACATACTTAAAACTATCAAAGGTGTAGTGTGTCCACCATTTAGTGCTGCATGTCAACAGCATAATTTGCTTGAAAACGTTAATCAATGGGACATGACAATCGCTGAAGTAATAGACAAGCAATTTCCAACAAAATTCAACCACAAATTTGTCCCGTATGTCTTCAAAGATCAATCAAGGTTTCCTGAGGAAATTTCCGTGAAAACTGAATTTTCATTTGTAAAGAAAATCTTTTATAAAATTTATTTCTCCCTTATGCCATTTTACGAATCGATAGAGGAGTTATTGATTCTATTTCTAAAAATTTTGGCATAATGGCTAATTGTTCACTAAGGGTGTTAATTATTACCTAAACATATAATGTTATTACGTCAATATCCGTGTTTTTCTCCTTCATGTTCCTTAAAAGTTTGATTGTTTGTAAAAAGGAACAAGTTTATCTTGGAAAAGTTACAGAAAATTCGATTTTCGAAAAAAACGCACCCTGGTCCAACTCAAATTTTTCTATTTTTCGGCTTATCTCAGATGACATTTTCAGTGCACAAACAGGAATAAGAGATACAATCGTTGTTGAACATCTTATTGAA